AGTAGATTGGCATTGAATCATCCTGTTCTTGTTATTGGTTATGGGTTTTAGGGTGTAGAAGAATATGACAAGAAATACTGGATTGTAAAACAGGTACTAAGAGAGAGCATTCTGATGTTCATACAGTGTTTTCACCAGCATTTACTTCTTTCTACATGTATTTCAACAGGGAATTGTAGTAGTGAAGGGGTGACATTCCCACCCAAGTTCTGAAATGGTATTGGCCAGGAAAGTTTTCTCAACCTGAATCTGAATGTACAAAACACAACTAATAGCTAGATCTATCTGGGTAGATGTTTCTGTGGGCTCATAACTGCTTTGTCAGGAGTGTTTTACAGCTGTGTAAAACAGCAGTTGGAAGGTGAGCAAGTAAACATGAACTCCTGTTTGACAATTTTAGCAAGCCTTCAACTCTGCCGGCCAGCAATGATGGACTGGACTACACCACATGAGAGGGACTCCAGACTGCAGAAGGCTGGATAGGAGACCATTTTGCATAACAGTTATGTAAGGTCCAACATATTCAGATTTAAGAGTGAGGCTGCTGTTGTCACAATTTACCAAATACATGTTGGTAAATTCTCACATGGTTATAATAGGGATGACTTGCTCAATCATTAAAAACCATCTCTGGTTTGCAAAACACACTATAGCTCACTGTGAGTTATTTACCCCATGGTGAGCCGCAGCATATGTAAGCACCATTTTGGATACGCAACCCCAAATTGGGGCAGGGAGTTGTCATGTGAAGTTGGGGATTCAGACAACATGGCAACCCTCCCTGATTAGGCTCTACATATTCAAAAGGGTGGTTGGCACACATCACAGCTCAGTGGGGGTTGAATAACCAACAACAGGCTGTTGAAGCATGTGAATTCGTCCAATGTCTTATATTCCATGTTTTTAGGCAAGGTTGTTTCCCAAATATATAAAACTGGGAAAACAAGGTATATATATTGTCATGGAGGAGCACCGGAAAGGGTGATAACCAAGTGGAACACTGTGGCAGAAGAGCTACAGATGGACTTAGCTGATGGTGTACATGCCAACCCACAGCAGAGTAGTAGTAGTTGTTGTTTTTACAGTAGCATAAATGCCTATACTATTTTAAGCCTTGCACAACTCTTTTGAAAGTCCCTGTCCAAGGGCTTGCATTTTAATAGAAATTATACAGAATGAGGCAGGAAGAGAGAGTAAGCATTGGAGTAATAGTTCAGTGATAGACAGAGGCTAGTGGGAAAAGTATAGTTCCTTTCAGTTCTGCATTCCCAGAGTATCTCTATGAAAAGGACTGGGAATGAGTTATCTTTGCTTATCATGCTAAGTTACTCAGTGGTGTGACTGTGTGCAGCAAGACATGCCAAAGTTTTAATGCTTGGTTTTTTCCTTTCAGCTGAAGTGAAATGTGGGGTGACAAAGGCTATATCTTGATGGCTAAAGACAGATTTAACCATGGTGGAAAAGCCACATATGCTAGCTATCCTCTAGTATAATTGTGAAAAAGAAGGAATCACTGAAAAAACAGCTACTGTCTTACAGCTGAGAAAAGACAGCTTGCTGGAATATGCTCTCCAGGAGGATGGGTCTCTTCAGATACTTTCTGAGGCCTCAAAAGTATTCTTACATGAGAAAGGACTTTAAACGCTGGCTGGGGCAATGTTGACAGTTGTAGATCCTTTTTCTTTCTAAACATGCATAGCATTGCACCTTAAACTTTACATGTGCTACTATTATATGTAGCTGTTTATCCTTGCGATTTTTTTTACCATGAACCTCTTGGTGATGGTGTACATGCCCTCCTCTTTTGAACTAAAATATAAATCCTGTTTATGTACATAAAATTATAATCAATAACTTGCAGTCTGAATAAAGCATAGATCAATCTTAATTAGATGGTTTTAAATAGCAACTTACACAAAGTAATAGCTCTTTCAAATAAACATTTAAACATGTGCAAATGAGTATGTATGTATATACTATTTGTATGTGAAGCTTGTCATTCTTTTTTCTTTCTAATACTGAATGATTTGGGGCCATTTCACCTCTGAAACGAAGTATCAGTAATACCATTTCGACTGGTAGAATGAAGAAATGATCCCTAGAATAAATAGAAAATTGAGCATGACCATCTGCAAAATAGGAACTTTTTCAGGAGCTTTTCTGAATTCTTAATTAAACATTGAAATGGCTTGCCTTCGTACTTCACTACTCCCCGCTTCTCAGTTCAAACAACCCAGCAGACCAAGCTGCAATATGAACAAGTGTAAAGTGGCCCCTGTTGAGGGATGAATTTCCAACATCATGTTGGAAAATTCTTATGGACTCTAAGCCAGGGATGAGTGACCAAGAAAGAGTTCTTTGTCTTTGAACTGTCCCCCCAAAGCTGACCTGTGTTTAGCAGCATTGAAAAAGTAAAATATCATTCAGACATAATAAGAAAAGCATCAGAAATAAAACTGCAAGTATGTACTGCCCTTATACATTCTACTATTCAATCACAGTTGGAATAGACTGTAGAGTTCTAATCACTGCACCTCAAAAAAGACATTGTAAAGTTGAAAAAAAGGACAATGCCTTTCTCAGTATAAACCTTCTCAACCGCAAAATTTTCATATGATGTCCTCCTGTAGATGCCCCTTCAAAAGAGGTTTGAAGGGTGGCTACACATGACAGGGCCTTTTTAATGGTAGCCCAAGCTATGGATAATAAACATAAACTAAAACTGATAAGTATCAGAGGGAGCTCAATGGAGATGCTGCTGCTCTGTTGCCATTTTGGCTTGCAATCCCCAAGCTATGGAGCATTCCTCCCCAGGTAGTTTGTCTGGTACCAATATTGTCATCATTTCACAGCAAGATGAATTGATATTTTTCACCTGCTAATTTCTTTCTATAACTGGACTTTTAATACCCATAAAACTTGAACACAACAGCAAATTTCTTATCTAGGGTTCTCGTTTTGTTTTTTGTTGTTTTGTTTTTACTTCTGTCTAAAAGTTACCACTAAATTCAAGCTGTACAGATGGATCAGTCAGAAATAAGAGTCATGTGTTTAGTGGCATTTACAAGTAAACAGGACATAGGAACACATAAGGTATGCATAGGAATACAAATAAACAAGGCACAGGAATACACACTGCCATGCATGTGTGCTAAGAAGCAAGTCCCATTGCATTTAGTGGGGCTGTGTGCCAGGCAAATGTACACAGGGTCATACCCCTTACAGGATCAGTCAGACAGTATTATGGCATTTATACTGAAGCATGTTATTTTAAGCATGTTTATATATTTAAAGAGATAACAGGTATAATCCTACACACATCTGAGAATAAATCTTATTTATTTAATGGGATTTTTGTAACTATACATATTGAACTGTTAAACATTAGAGTAACTTTGAAAGAGTAAAATGGAATATTCTGGTAGAATAATGTTTGAAAGGAGAGAGAAATTCATTGGTTCTTTATAAGCAAAAGGGAATTTCCCAGTTTCACAGGTGTGTTGTAATTAAAATGCTAATCTAGGTCTAATCTTCAAAAAGGAAGGTACTACTGTTCACATCCTTAAATTTTCATTTGTTGTTTTGTAGGTCCTTTAGCCATTAAATCATGATCTTACAAACAAAAAGAAACCCTTTCCACAGTCTAAAGAACCATGAAGTGGACATGCTGAGTACATGAGATGATGGAAGCTGGTGTCCACCATACTTCCTGTTAGTAAGAGACAGGAAGGCCATAACTCCATAAGACAGGACATTTTTCACATGTTTAAGTACACCTTGTGCAGTCCTTGGTATATCCAACAGAAAGGAATCTCTGCGTAATAACCCTGACAGCAGCAGCAAGTTAGAATCTTAATGACTTTGTGGTTGAATGAAAACTATGGAAGAAAGCTGAGAGAAAACATGGGAGGACTACAAATGGAAAACACCATCATCTGGATCTCTCCCACCCTTAAATTCCACAAAAAAGACAGGGTGATTGCAGGGTGATTTGCAAGCATCCAATGAATAAGCCAACTTCAAATCAGAGATAAATCACTTCTATTAGGCAGTATATATTGGCTGCCTACATATTGGTAGCAGATGCTGGTGAGGCATGGAGTGGTGGCAAGCTGTCAAAAGTCAGCTGTGTGTGCCACTTGACCAGCCTTTGGTCCCCTAAACCATTCTGCAGGTATAGTACAAGCCACTCACCAGTTTCACAATAACAGTTCATCGCCAAACCCCTCAGCTCCGGGGGGGGGGGGGGATCTTGTTCTCTGCAGGCAGAAAAATAGATTTGGCCAGTCTGAATTTAGAGCTATCATGGATCACTGTTTCAACTTTACATTCTTAAATATTCATTTTTCAGACTGAGATGGAAAAAATCACCTTCCCCATTCGTTTGTGAAGGAATGGTGACTTCCTCCCTATTAAAATACAGAACCACAATCACCTGGAAGTCCCAGTGACACAGATAAGACTGAGTACAACTTAAAAGGCAGGCAACGAAAGGTAAGCTATTCCCTGTTTTTGTGGTGTAATTTTTATGAGAGAGCCCCTTGCACTCATGAAAGTTGGTTTTCTCTCAGAGTAGTTACCCTGCATCTACCATTAGCCCCAGTCTGCAGCGAGGCTAGTCTCCAACAAAGATCTGGAGATCTACACGTTTGCCCGCGTGAAACAATACCAGGGTTATAAGGCTCAATGGCCAGTTGCCTTCAGAGTCTTTCTGTTCTGTCAGTCACGCTAAGAACTTCGTAGAGTGATTCACCTCAAGCAAGACTCTTTGGAAGCACATGTTTTCCCTAGCCGATGCTGATAGGGCTTTTTATCATTATTATTTTGGCTTGATCAGCCAAATCAGAGTCTGTGTCCTTTCCAACCCGCTTCCAGTAAACAAAATGTCAACACTTCCCACCAGCCACAATCAGGTCCGGAGATCACGGGATCGGGAGTCACGAACCTTTGCAGGATTAGTCCTAGCTCCGCCTTCCAGCAAGTGATGCACAGGAGGGGCCGGACCGGGGAGATTTAGAGGGAGTCATCCAGCAGAGAAACGAGCTAGGGAGGTTCAGCGGAGGAGAGTAGCGAAGCTCAGTGTGGTGTGGCGCCCCTGGCGAAGTAAGTACAGATGCCCTCCTGGCGGGTGAGGGGCTGCTACCTTTCCAGGAGCAAGGCGCCTTCTGGGTCTGAAGATAATGGTTGGGAGATGCTTATTCCCAGAGGCGCCCCTTTGCCTAACGAACGACAAACAAAAAAGGGGCCTCTTTGGGACGTTTGTTTCCCCCACCCCTTAGCTTCTCTCAGGAGCCAATTTTGTCCTCGTAACACAAGTGGAAAAGGGAGCTTTTTAGCCCGTTACCGCCATCGCGCTTCCTTGGTTTTGTGGGGACGAGAAGGGCTGGAAAGAGAGTCCTTTTGCCCTGCCTCTACGGCTCAATGAATACTTGGCCAAGGGGCCGGGGCCCTCTCCCTCTGTGGGTGATGGGCGCTCTGACGCTCCCGCTTTGGTTCTGCGTGTTTACGAGACAGAGAAACTGGCGTGGGTCCCGGGCGCTAACGACGGCATTGCCAAACCCTCCCTTCCCGAGCCGCGGCTGTTTATCATTCGGCTACCCCCCGCAAGCCGAGCGGAGCGCTGGCATTTCTCCCTTCCCAGTCCTGGGGCTCCGAGATTCCCCCCTTTTGCCCCGGAAGGAAGGCCGCGATCGGCTTGTGCCTGGACTGCTACCTCAGCGCGGCTCTTCCAGGCGACTGGAAGCCCACGGAGCGTCCCTGCCTTTCTGCCCCTCCTCCTCCTAGCAAGTTAGAACCAGGTCCGAAGCCAGAAGGACATGTTTATACCGGGCCTGCCCATTTTCTTTTCCCCGGCTCGGCTATCATGTGAGGTGGGGACTCACGTGTCTATTTATTGGATCACATGTCAGCGAACCCCCCCCCTTTTTTTTTTTGATGTCTGGTCTCGCATCTCCACCCCGGCTTTTCGGTTAGGGCAGCGGAAGTGATTCCTGAAAAATTGGTGAGTCATAGAGGAGTCCTAGAAATATTAAAAGGTCTGCATATTCCTTGCAGGAATATTTATCCCTCTCTTGTTCAAGATAATGCCACTCTGCTGGCAGAGTATTCTGTTAGAAATGCATTTCTCATGAGCGCAGCAAGGAATTAAAGCAAAAGCTGTGCTAATCTAGTTTGCAAACAAAAATCTTGTTTTATAACACTCACTTGAGTTTCATGTTGAGTGATCACTTTTCACCCCTGTTTTGTTGCAGTATATCCAAATTGTTAAACTACCCTTGGAAATGTTGACTCTTTGTGTTCTGATAACTTTGCCTACTGGTTGAAACAAATCAATTGGTCAATGGTGAGAAAAGGGTTACCTGAGTTGAGCAAGATATAATTCCGAATAATGAGGCCTAAGATTATATGGTTGGTCTAGTATTTGTCTGGATAACAGTGGCTTATCACTCAGCCCTCTTCCTGAATTTAAATTCTTACTCTTGTTTTATGCTAGCCACCAAATCATGATATGGTGCATATTGCCTTGTCCTCCTATCTCTTTCAAATAGAGGAGCTGGAAGTAAAACCATTCTGCACTTGATAATTGTCAGACAGCAGAAGTGATTTCTTGTTCTTGCCCCCTCCTCATTTATTTGTATTCCCTGCAAAGATGCTATATGATGCACAATTATCTGGGAGTAACTCACATTGACTTCAGCTGGACTTGATTCTGACTAGGCATGTATCTGATGGTGCTTTAATGGAACAAGTGGGATCCCTGGATTATTCTCTGTCTATTGTTATTGTTGGTCTTATCCTTTAATCAAGAAACAACAAACCTATGTAAGGATTGAATTGCCTCTTACCTGTGTACATGTACTTGGCGACTTACATGTTAGCTCAACTTGTACCAAACTTTTCCAACAGTCTAGTCTTTCTTTAACTAATGCAGATAAGTACTTCATTTCTTCGCAGTTTACATAACCTCCTCCATGGCGACTGTACTGTTTCAATTCCAGCCTTGCTGTGAGTGGCAGAGGCTATTGCCTTATCTAATGAAGTCATTTTTTTCACATTTAAGAGCATCCATCATGAAGTTTTATCTGTGCATACTGGCCTTAAGTGTGGATGCATGCTTTGCTGCTCCAAGCCTAGACCCCGCTTTGGATGACCACTGGGGTCTGTGGAAAACATGGCATAGCAAGGAATATCATGAGGTGAGCAGCACTATCTGTGGCTTGTTGTGCAAATGCATTTCAGAATGGTGCTGTAGCAAGACATTATGGGTTTTTCATCAGAAATGCTCTATTGCATAGGTTATTATAACTCTGTGTGACCTATAATATAGATATTATGTAGATCTTAGGGCACCCAAATAGGTAATTATGTTAGTGAAGCATCTGCCAGCAAAACAGGCAACACTATGATCAAGATGTACTAGAGTAGTGGCCCACAGTAGCTGTAGATTCATAATGGTACAAAACTGATTTATCGTGCCAATTTCCATTTCACCAGAATGCTTATTTTTGTACTTCTGTAACTATAACTGCCCTTGGAGCAAAAATGGTAACTTGATAACAAGTAAATAGGAGTATCAGAGCATTGTATTTGAGGCTATATAAGGAGTATTTTAAATTAGCTATGCTATAATTAATGTGTAACAGTGAAAGTAACTTTCCCCTGGATCAAAATAGTTGGTTTAATTTGCAGAATGGGGACATTAAGCATCAACTATGCAGTGATTGAGACAATTCTTGAGATACTAGGGTTCTTTAGCAGCAAAGAGAAGTTAGGCATTAGATATCTTTTGTGGCTGTATTTGGGCCAACCTAATGTACTCTCTGTGTGGTTTCCCTCGCCCTTTTTTTTTCTTACAGAGGGAAGAAGGCTGGAGAAGAATGACCTGGGAAAAGAACTTGAAGATGATTGAATTGCACAACCTGGAACACAGCCTGGGCAAGCACAGCTACAGACTAGGCATGAATCAGTTTGGAGACATGGTAGGCATAAGCAGAGCTGTGAGGCTGCGTCTGCCTACTCACTTTGATGTCACACTGACTTATTTCCTCTTTCTTTAGACGAATGAAGAGTTTAGGCAAGTGATGAATGGCTTCAAATACACCAAAAAAGAAAGGAAATTCACAGGATCACTTTTCCTGGAGCCAAACTTCTTGGAGGCTCCCAGATCTGTTGATTGGCGGAAGAAGGGATATGTAACCCCTGTGAAGGATCAAGTATGTGCCTGCCCTTCTGTGTTTGGCTTGTCTTAATGCAAACCCTTGTATTTACAGACTTTTAAGCAGTCATGTTAAGTCAGCTAAGATGTCAGCTAAGATGTTAAAAGTAAGGACACAAGAGACAGAATCTCATTTCTCTTGTGATGTGAGCTGGCTAAACAACTGGTGCAGGTGCAATTACAGCACTACTCCGCTGTGGGTATGGTGAATGCTCAGTCTCTAAGACAGGTAGATCACTCAGGGCACACCTTGGGAATGAAGAAGAGGGTTTTACTGTATCATAAGTGCATCAACCAGCTTGGCTTCCCTAGTGCTAGTGAAATCAGATTAGCAATCAAAAGATAATGCACTACCAGAGTACAGAAAATGTTCCCAGAGTATTTGGGTTTCAGAAGCTCTATTCAAATACAAGTTATCTGATATTAAAATCAGAGAAGGTAACTTATTTCAGTAATTTTGTTGTTTTGGCCTTGCTTTCTTGGCTGCTGGCTTATTTATTTATCTTTATTTTATTCGCCGAAGCCTCAGGGCGGCTCACAAACATAAATAACATCATATAAAACAATATGATTTAACAGTATAAATTAAGTCGTCCTGGCCAAAGAATAAAATGAATAATAATTAAAATAACGTTTGAATAAAAAGGTCTTCGTCTGGCGCTGAAAAATAACGATGGCGCCAGGTGGACCTCTCTGGGGAGCGCATTTCATAGATGGGGCACCACTGCAGAGAAAGTCTTCCTCCGAGTACTTACCCTCCTAATTTCCTTCACAGAGGGTTCCCGGAGAAGGGCCTCTCCCACTGATCTCAAGGGGTGGGCAGGCATATATGGACGTAAGCACTCCTTCAGGTAACCAGGACCCAAGCCGTTAAGGGCTTTATAGGTCATCACCAATACCTTGAATTGGGCCCGGACTTCAGTGGGAAGCCAGTGAAGCTGACGGAGAATTGGAGTCATGCGAACATAACGCCCAATCCCCCTCAGCAGCCTGGCAGCTCTATTTTGAACCAATTGAAGTATCCGGACCGTCTTCAAGGGCAGCCCCACGTAGAGCACATTGCAGAAGTCAAGTCAAGAAGTCACCAATGTGTGTGTCACTGTTGCCAGGCAGTCGTTCTCCAGGTAGGGGCGCAGCTGATGGATCAGCCGAAGCTGAAAGAAAGCGTTCCTCGCCACCAGAGCTTCCAGTGAAAGCTCTGGGTCGAGGAGCACTCCCAAGCTGCAGACCTTGTCCCTGAGAGGGAGTGCAACCCCATTCAGGACTAGGTTCAATTCACCCTCCCTGAAGCCCGATCCGCCAACCAACAGGACCTCCGTCTTGTCTGGACTGAGCTTCAGTTTATTGGCCCTCATCCAGCCCATTACCTTGGCCAGGCACTGGTTCAGCACAGCCACTGCCTCACCTGGATTGGTGGAGAACGAGAGGTAGAGCTGGGTATCATCAGCGTACTGATGATTCCGCAGCCCACACCTCCTGATGACCTCTCCCAGAGGTTTCATGTAGACGTTAAACAGCAAAGGGGACAAAATGGATCCCTGCAGTACTCCATGGCATAGCTGCCATGGCGCAGAGCCATAGTCCCCCAGCACCACCTTCTGGAACCAGCCATTGAGATAGGAGCGGAACCACTGCAAAGCAGTGCCTCCGACCCCCAATCCTGCTAGCCTATCCAGAAGGATACCATGGTCGATGGTATTGAAAGCCACTGAGAGGTCCAGAAGAACCAACAGGGATGCACTCCCCCTGTCCTTCTCCCTGCACAGGTCATCGTACAGGGCGACCAAGGCAGATTCAGTACTGTACCCGGGTCTGAAGCCGGACTGAAATGGGTCCAGATAATCAGTTTCATCTAAGAGTGCTTGGAGTTGTCCCGCCACCACCTGCTTCAACACCTTGCCCAGAAACAGGATGTTGGCCACTGGTTTATAATTAGTGGCCATCTCTGGATCCAGCAATGCCTTCTTTAGGACTGGTCGGACTACCACCTCCTTTAAAGGGACAGGTACCCAACCCTCCCTCAGAGAAGCGTTACTCACTTCCAAGATCCAGGTCCCAATCCCGTGCTTGGCATTGTTTATTAACCAAGATGGGCAAGGGTCCAATAGGCAAGTGGTGGGACGTACTCGTCCAAGCACCTTGTCCCCATCATCAGGCCGCAATAACTGAAATTCATCCATTAATTTTGGACCAGACCGGCGACATTGGAATCACTAGTAGAGTCTAGCTTGTATCCTTTAACTCATGGAAGAAATGGAGTCTGCACAGAGTGCTTTTATAACTAAGGTTCTCAACCAATTTGCCAGTGTTGCTTTTTTGCAATTCTCTTGCAACTGCCATAAAGTCAAAATTAAGAGGTTGAAAGAGACTAGGGAGAAGATCTGTGCGGTGGGGGCATTATAAGGATGCATTAGGAAAATACTTAAGAACTAAACTCAGGCACAGTCAGTCAGTACAAGAAAAAAAATCTGTGTAAGCAGATGGGTCCCTGAATCAGGTACAGAAGGTAGCATGCAGATCTCACAGGATGACACAATACGATGACAACATTTTCTTCCATTACTAAACCAAAGGTATTGCAGGAACCTGCACCACCACAGTACAGCCTGGCTTTGAACAAATGCATTTCCTCCCATTTGAACTCAGGGACAATGTGGCTCCTGCTGGGCCTTCAGCACAACTGGATCCCTCGAAGGACAGCACTTCCGCAAAACCGGCAAGCTGGTCTCTTTGAGTGAACAAAACCTGGTGGACTGCTCTAGGCCTGAAGGCAACCAGGGCTGTAATGGGGGCCTCATGGACCAGGCTTTCCAGTATATAAAGGACAATGGTGGCATTGATTCAGAGGAATCCTACCCATATGTTGCAAAGGTAAAACTCAGTTTCTGTTGGCTGCAAAATTAGTGTTCCTGCTCAATTTAGTAGATACATCAGGGAAGTAAAATCTCAAAGTTGTAAAAAGTGTATTAAACTCATTCGCATGTGATGTTTTCATTGGGTGAGGCTATATTCTGCTGCTAGTGTACTGGGTTATTGGTAATGCAACAAAGTGAAACAGAGAATGACTAAATTGTTTTGCCTCACTGTTGACTTGAGTGAGTTTCTAAGGATTGAAGAGCATTATTGCTTAACTTGCCTGGATTGAACTTACTAAACAACTTAGAACTCTACTTGTACAACACAAACTGTGTTTTCATACTAAAAATAACTTCAGGCTCACAAATCAATGAAACATTAGAGAATAATGGAGAAAAGACAAAATCATCAAGGACTTTGTTTGGTCCTTCTAAATGTTTAATGGCTGTGCATTTGTCTAATTAGTATACAGTCATAGAACTTTTGTAGTCTTAGCTGAAAGCTACAAACTTTTGTAGCTGAAATTTTCATTCCCACAGTTTAAACAAGCCATTCTGTTTATATCAGAGTTCTCAAACTGGTGGCTTCTGGAGTGTATATTTCAGCTGTTGATTTTATGTCTTTTACTTTTGATGTTAATTAAATTCAATGTTATTTTTTGTTTGTCACCCAGAGGGTGACAGTTACTGGGTGATAAAGCAATTGGGTAGAGCAATTAAAAGCTTTGTTTAAGAAAAAGATTAGGTTGAATCACTATGTCGCTGCTGCCATAGGCGGAAGAGGTTTTCTGTTTCAGAAATTGGTTGGCAAGGATTTCATACGTATTTTCCCCCCACATACATGCATGTATAAAAATTCATGAGGATACAGAAGGAAGAGGACAGACAGACACATTAACAAGTGTCAGGGACTTGGCTGTGAAGAATGTTCCTTGTGAGATAGCTGAACATAATTCATGTGTGTCTGACTTGTTAAAACTAGAATACTGATTATTGCATGGACTAGTTAACTGGGTTTTGAAGCTAGCTTCCTTAGCAACATTTTTTTTTTTTTTTTTTTTGGTCTTCTAAGGATGTTGAAGATTGCTTGTACAAGCCTGAATACAATTCGGCTAACGACACTGGTTTCGTGGACATTCCATCAGGGCATGAAAGGGCCCTCATGAAAGCAGTGGCTTCAGTAGGGCCCATCTCTGTGGCCATTGATGCAGGTCACACCTCTTTCCAGTTCTATGAGTCAGGTAAGGAGGTGTTCAAACACTTCTTTCAGATTCCATTGCATAGGACAATGTTCTCCTCCTCGGTTCCTTCCAAGTGTATTGAATTACGGCTCACACATTTTCCACATTGGCTAGGAATGGTGGAAGCTATAGAACAAGCATACCTGGAGGACATTGGGTTGAAAAGGGCATCATGCCCTTGTATTGAGGTTTGAAGTAGTGGCTGTACTGCATCCTTATAACTATGTAAGGTATGAGGCCTGACAAATGGGCACACTAAATGCTGCCCATTGGAGATCCACAAACTTGACCTTGGTTCATTGGCTGTTTGTGGCGGTCATCACCCTTCACTCCCACTGCACACTCCTGAGATCTTAATGCGCATCAGAAGTGGAGCTCAGAGTGTGGGAGAGATGCTGCTTCTGTCTCTTGCAAAGGAAACATTTGAAGGAAACCAGCACTTGCCCTCTGAGATGCAGGCTGGCAACATGGACTAGGACACTTCCCAGTCTTACCCAAAATTCCACAAGAGGTGAATTAGGCTGCATCTGATGCAGGCTGGATCTTTTCTCTCTTTGCACACAGCTTTTTGCAGAAGCATCGCCACTCTCCTGGAGCTGCTTCTGCCTCCTATTAAGCCCACATAAAGATAGATCCCTCCCCTCCAGTGTCTTCTCTCTGCAAGTCATGGGAAACTGAACTGATTGTTCCCACTGCACAGTGATGAAGAAATGTGTTTGTGCCCACTTATCTCATTGGGTGAGACAAGATTAGGCCAGTATTTCCCTTATGGCGCATATCAAAGAAGTTGGGGAGGGTTGGAAGAGAATTTTGTCAAACCCTGGAGAGAATCCATCATTGAACATACGTGGCACAGAGCCATATATACCAATGTACTGGTTCTTCCTATGGGGTTCACATATAAGATTGGATAGTTTGGGCCACACTTGATAGAGCAATTTCCCATCTGGAAGCTGATTGACTTCTCTGTTTCTAGGTATTTATTATGAACCAGACTGTAGTAGTGAGGACCTGGACCATGGCGTTCTTGTTGTTGGTTATGGCTTTGAAGGTGTAGAAGAAGAAGATAGTAAGAAGAAGTACTGGATTGTAAAAAACAGGTATACTTTTACTTTCCCCCCTACAACTGTTTGCCTCTTCCTGCATGAGGGAATGGATAGAGGGGTTATCCTTGAAATAGGATAAGTTAAGTTTTTCCAATTGAACTAGAACGTATGATGTATTTAAAAGACAGTCTTGATAGGCATGGTATTCAGACTGATTTTTTGATGGACTAAGATAGTTCTGCACCACTGGTAGAAGACATTTCTGACAAAACAGGGTGTTCGTATTCATGAGTGACATGAGGTGAGCCAGATGAACACAGAAACAGTCAGAAGAGGCCTCCCAGGCTAGCTAGCCTGACCCCCAGCGCTAGTCTGCTCCATTCATGACATGAACTCTTTATTCTCATCATCCCTGGTTGGGGATGATGAACTGGATTACATCTCATGTGAGGAAGGCATCTGGTTGGGGAAAACTTTTTGCATTGTGTAAGGCCAGCCCACCATTTGTCCTCAAGACCCAAGTTGCATGTCGCTTCTCTTGTCCCAACAAACATTTATCGGAATATAGTTCTTTAAAACTAATGGATTAGAGACTATATTCAGTATTTTTAGTTTTCTAGCCAAAATCTATAAAAAGCATAGAGCTAGTGAAATTAGCAGCACTTGAAGATGACAATGAACTGGAGGGATAAAGTCAAAAAAGCTGCAGTTGCACGTTGCTGATGGTATAGATGCCAGCTAGCAGGAACAGCATTGATGTTGTTCTTGCAATAAAAGACATGCCTAAAACTTTCTAAATCATATAAAGATTTCAAAAACAAGCCCCAGTCCCACAAAAGGGAATCTAATAGGAGTTATAAGGAAAGGGGTAGGAAGAGAAGTCAGAAGTGCAGTAGCTGCTCAGTGGTGGATCGAGTCATCCCCCAGCCAGTAGCAGAAGCCAAGGTGCACTGCCATGCACTCAGCATTCTTTGAGCAGCTCTATACCATTGTGTTGAAAGGATGGACCTCCTACCTCTGCACATCTTGAGATGTTGCTTTGTGTGTGCGCGCGCACACATTCCCATGTGGGGATTATGGCTGTGTGAAGATGCATTCCTGATATCAAAGTTCTAATGCTGTGCTCTTTCCTTTCAGCTGGAGTGATAAGTGGGGTGACAAAGGCTATATCTTGATGGCTAAGGACCGGAATAACCACTGTGGAATAGCCACAGCTGCTAGCTATCCTTTAGTATAATTTTATACTTTATACTAAAGGATAAAAAAGGATACTCCAAGGAGTCTCTGGAACAACTGCTACAGTTGCACTTGGGAAAAGAGGAACCACTGTAATAAGCTGTCCAGCTTGCTGGGTCTCAAGACACTTTCTGAAGCCTCCAAAGTATTCTTGTACCAGAAAAGACTTTAAAACTGACTATTACATGTGCTACTAATACATGTGGTTGTATCTGTTTCTTCCAGGATCTGTGACTTTTTATTTTTTATCTCGAACCTCTCTGATGTTTACTTGATGGCAAAATGTGCCCTTTTTAATTTTAACTCAAATGTTGCTGGTGCACACAAGCTTGTAATATTGATAGTTTGCAGTATCTGTAAATCATAGAACAAACTCTTTTTTAAGTTTGTTTTTTTAAGTAACTTGTACAAAGTTGCAGCTTTCCAAATAAACATTTCAACATGTTCAGATAGGCTTTCTGTATTGCATTTTCACATATTTGTTTCAGAATTGATAAAGCTGTTCCTAATACCATTTTTCCCCTAAGGTAGGCAATTTCTCAGGACAGTAAGGCAAGGGGCTTGTTCCTGTCCCCCAGTCTCAGATTACTACCAGAAGGTCTTCTAGTTTCCATGTAGCCTGAAGGGCCTGATCACACCCTATCTTGGAAGCTAAGCAGGGTCAGGCCTGGTTGGAATCTGCATGGGGGACTTCAATGTTGTGAACCACCCAGAGAGCTTTGGCTATGAGTGGTATAGAAATATAATTAATAATAATAATAATAATAATAATAATAATAATAATAATAATAAGACTTTCGCACCCATACATGCAAGGTTTGGCTTCAAGCATTCTTCAGCATCCAGATTATGAGAGAGAAACTTTTGCTATTTATTGCTAGGCTACTGGAAGTATAGGCCCATGTGCAAATCACTCAAATCGGCCACTGGATCATATTGCACCATCTGCCTGCCTCTGCTGTGTTTAGGTAAATGATGATGATGCAGGCTGCTACTTTAAAATGGAAAGGAGTTTCCTTAGGGCTTCATTCTTGTGGATATGCATGCCCAGTGGCTGCCACATGGCTTATATTTCTATTGTTAAAGCAGCCTGTTCTACAATTACAGGTGATTAGTGCTCAGGGCAAATGAGTATTTGCAACCCATTTGTGGGAATAAACATTCTATGTACAGCTTGGCTTTTTATCCTGCTGAATATTGAACATTCATAGTTTGTAACATGTCGTAATCTGTTTCTCTAGAACACATTGAAGCAAAATAGTTACAGTGCCAAGTACTGGCTAATGGGATCTGAGATAGCAGTAGCCATCTTGAGATTGTGGTATACAGCTTGATGAAAATGTTGGTTCAGTGCACACCTGCTTTGAAAAAGGCAGACTTTGTGTTAGCCATAATTAGAAATGGAATTGAAAACAGAACTGCCAAGATCCTCTTGTATAAATATTTGGCTGACCACACACAGAATATTGTGTACAGTTCTAGTTGGCTTAGCTTAAAAAGGATATGACTAAGTTGGAAAAAGTACAGAGAAGAGCAACTAAAATTATCAAGGGACTGGAGAAAATACCCTATGAGGAGTTGCTACAACAACTGGGAATATTTAGAAAAACAATGAGTAAGGGGACACATGAGAGAGGTGCTTAATGCATAGTATAAGGAAAGTGGAGAGGAAGACATTTTTCTCCCTCCTATAATACTAGAACCTGAGGTCATCCCATGAAGGGTAGGAAATTTAGGACAGAGGAAAGAAAGTTCTTCACACAGTGCATAGTTACATTACATAATTCACTGCCACACCAAGTAGTAATGGCCACCAGTTTGGATATCTTTAGAAGATTCAACAAATTCATGGAAGAGGAGACTATCAATAGCTACTAGCCTTGCTAGCTATATGCTTCCTCTGTTATCAGAGGACAGCATGCCTGCATACAGCAGTTGCTGAGGACCTTGGGCAGGAGATCTTACATCCACCCTGCTTGAGGAACCAGCAGATGGCTGGTTTCCCACTGTGTGAAAGGAGTGCTGGACTGTATGGACCATTGGTCTGATCCAGCATGGCTTTTCTTATGTAGGACAGCCTTCCCCACTTCAGGATGTTTTGGACTATATTTCCCATCATTCTCGTAATCAGCCAGGACTGATGGGAGTTGAATTCCAAAACTTCTGGAGGCAGGGTTTGCATAAAAGGTATGAGTGGACAGCTGTCAAATGCCCACAGCCACGAGGCCTCTTGAGTCACATCACCTTTTTGCTTGTTCAACTTTTTGTTTACTGGGTTCTCACTCTGGCTCAGGCAATGTGGCAAGGAGGAGGATGAGTAGATGCCACTGTCTACCAGCTGACTTTGCATATCAAGCAAGCAAAGAGTAGCAATGATGAAAGGATGAGGAACAATAATAGCTGTTGGCAGTGGTAGTGAGAAGGTAGACTCACTAGAGGAGGAGAGCCATTTTAAGATACCTTGTCCAAAGGTGTCTTGAGCTAGCACTGCCAGAAGGGAAGTAGAAGAGGAAAACCTGCTCTAACTTGAGGCCTACTCAACAAAACCCATGTGAGCCTACAGTTGGGTTGATCACCATTTTCTACCTCAAAAGCTGCCTACTAGCAAGTGGAAAGAGAACCTCTCTCTTTGCTGTGCCGGTTTCCTTTCTGCAGGGAGATTTTTGTTTGGGAAAATATCTCAACCTGGAACCCAAAGTGGCATTTGCAGTTTGAAACAAGGTAGGCCATCGTACTGCCTCACCTCCATGTATGGTCTAGATCTGAGGGCACAAACAGCTATCACTTTAAATCTGTGTCTCACAGCTATGTCTTGTTCTGTTCATTTTCAAGCTAAAGTAGGTACAGATTAGGCCTATGCTAGTGTGGGAGATTGGGTAGATCAGGGCTCTTGCACCTATACCAGAATAAAAATTACCAAAAGACATAACAGCTGGATACAGATTTAAAGAAACTGCTGTTTTGGGCCTGAGGGCTTGACTAGGCTTGGGCCTCTGGTGGCTGTGGTGTGTTGAGAAAAGGGCAGCTTGGGCCTGATGAGCATTCAGGGAGAGATGGGGAACAGTTTTATTTGTTTATTTAAAACATTTGTATGGTACCTTTGGGCGGCTCACAATCATAATTAGACCTGATTCTTCTAAATAGCTCCCCATTGGGCATTGGTGGGATGGGGTGAGTTTTACAGATTGGGCAGAACAGTGGAAATGTGAGTACGGAGAAAAATGAGCTCTTTGCTCCAGCACTAGTCTGCTCTAAAATATTCTCTCATGAAACACAGTCTTTCTCTTTTTAAAAGGCGGCTGGAATTTTGTTGCCTGTATCAGCGTGTAAAATTTTGCTAGGCCCTTGAAGTAGATGAGAGGCAGGGCTTTTTTTGTCATAGAACGCACTGGAATGGTGTTCCGGCACCTTTTTTTCCAATGGATTTTACAAAGTGGTTTTGAATTGCCTGTTGGTGTAGCAGGTCAGCATCATTAACATAGTGCCTGCGGGCTGCTTTTGTGTCCGCGCTGCCCGCCTTGGGACACTGCTCGGCTTGGGATTGGTGTGTGTGGTCACGCGCTGAGTGCTTACTGCCGGCGGCAACGTGCGTTCCGGCACTTCATTTTTTTTTTACAAAAAAAGCACTGAGAGAGGTGTCATTCTGTGCCTATGCTCAAGTATTTGTTGTCTTTTAAACTCTTTCCAGTACACATATTTGGGGTAATCTTGGCATTCATTAGCAGAAGCAATTTCCCAGGATAAATTAACCTGCTGACAGGGTTGCCTCAGACATTTTGCCCCTTGAAGTCTGCTGGACCAAGGTGTTTTGATGCCAGAGGGGACGGACAAGATGGTATCCCTTCCTATTCTGCATACAAACACCAACTGGACAGAGAGCAAAATCTTTCTTCAGTGCTGACAATGGGACGGCCTCCTCCATTTCACAGGAAAAAGATCAGATTACAGCCTGCATGGCCCACAGTTCTGTTACCCTTTGCTGCCACTCTCCACCATCTACAGCCTGAAGCAACTGCCTCGCTGAATAAAGATATGGCTATCTCTGGTAAGGAGCAAGATATGCCCTATTCCATTTCTGGTTCAGACATTCACTGGACTGGTGGTTAAATCTTAGTCCAGTATTGGAACAGGACACCATCCTCCACCATCCCTCAGCATGGCAGGCTAGCTTAGGGAGGTGCAAGGGACATGGCTTTGTCCTCCTATGCCTTGTCCCCGTTTCCTTCCCACAGCATTCACTACCTGAGATAGCCTCTTCACTCAACCCCATGGTGGCAGTGTGTGTGTGTGTGTGTGTGTTGGACTGTATCTTTGTGTTGTTCATTTTTGTGGGATTTATTTTTAGTTTGTACAGAGTAGACAGTCAGTGCGAAGCGGTGGCTAGAGTGTTTGACTGGGACTCAGGAAATCTGGGTAGTAGTCCCCATTAGGCCACGAAGCGCTCTGAGTGATTTTGGACCAGTCATTACTGTCAGCCTAAACTCCTTTGCCGTTTGTCGCATGGAGAGAAGAGGAATCTTATACATGCTGCCTTGGGTTCCTTGGAGGAAATGTAATAAGAAAAGAAGCAGATTGATAATTATATCTGGTCTAGAGCAGCCCAATAGATAGTTCAGATCAGATGATCCTTACCCTCATCTTTTTTCAATAACTTAAGTGCAAATCCTGTCCAGCCCCAAGGACTGTGGTGGCCATGCACACAGGTGCATATCTGCACATATGTGGCAGTATTTCTGGTACAGATAGGTCTTCCCCATTGCTAGCAATGATGGGAAAAGATCTTTTTTTTTTTTTTTTGGTATGTTTGGGAAAGGGATGAAAAGTAAAGATAGCAGGGTGGGATTAGGAAATGCTTGGTAGGTGTGTGTCAGCATACTTTTGTGGGCCAGTGAAGAGGCCTTGGGGGCTATGGACTCTAAAGCAGGGGTGTCCAACGGCCCATAGGCCACTTGCAGCCCAGGATGGCTATGAATGTGGCCCAACACAAAATCATAAACATTGCAATTTTTAATGTGCAGCCCAAGACAATTTTTCTTCTTCCAATGTGTCCCAGAAAAGCCAAAAGGTTGGACACTATGCTCTAAAGCATAGTCGTTACTGTTGGTGTTCATTGCAATGAGGCACTACACTGCGAACATGGGAAGCTTCCTTATATAGAGGAAGAGTCTTGGTCCATCTAGTCCATTGATTGACTGGCTGAGGCTCTTGAGTGTTTTAGGCAGTGTTTTTCAGCTTTACCTGAGAATTAAACCTGGGATCTTTGGTATGCAAAATACCTGCTCTTCCAGAGCACTACACACTCTTAAAACTAAAAACTACTGGTGTCACAGCTAACAACAGAAGCAGCAGAGTCTGAGGGGATACTTTATCCCTTTCCCGCCATTTCCCAGACCTACCCCGACATTTTAAACTACATAAAATACATAAGAGCTCAGAATTAGTCTTTTA